AATAATAGCATCTCGATCAAAACGATAGAAAGGCAGCAAGAGATACAGGCTTCCAGTTATGGGAATGAACAAGTCAAGGGAATGAAAGGTACACCATAGGGAATATAGCCATTGGTATTGCAATAGTGTTGCGTGGTCACAGATGGTAGCTACACCAGTGGTGAGCACAGCATAACTCACCCAGTTGTCAAATCACCATGTTGTACACCTGGAACTAATGTCACATTGTGTGTCGACTCTACTCGAAATAAACAGATAAATAAATAAAAATATCTAAAGGTAATGAAGTGGTATCTCATTGTGGTTTTGATGTGCATTTCCCTAATGATCAGCGACACTGAACATCTTTTCTGGCTCTTATCGGCCACTTCCAGATCTTCTGTGGACAGATGTCCATTCAAGTCCTTTGGCTGATCTTTCAATCAGGTTGTTTATTTTGTTGTTGACTTTTAGAAGTTCTCTATATTCTGGATATTGTCAAATATGTATTTGCAAGTATTTTCTCTCATTCTAGGAGTTGCCTTTTTACTCTGTGGATAGTGTCCTTTGATGCACAAAAGTTTTTAAATTTGGTGAAGTCGGCTCTACCTATTTCTTCGTTTGTTGCCTGTGTTTTTGGTGTCATGGCCAAGAAGTCATTGCCAAATCCAAGGTCATGATGTTTTTCCCTATGCTTTCTTCTAAGGGTTTTATAGTTTAGCTCTTATATGTTCAGGTCTTTAATCCATTGCAAGTTAATTTTTTGTATATTATATTAGGTAAAGATCCACACGTGCCTGTCACCTTGAACAGGTGCCCCTATACTTGATAGCCTTTTTGTCCCTCATCTCCTGCATTATTGACTTTTTTGTGTTTAGTTGATTTTTTTAACAGTGAAATTGTTTTAATTCCTGTCTCATTTTCTTTTTTTTTTTTTTTTTTTTTTCAACATTTATTTATTTTTGGGACAGAGAGAGAGACAGAGCATGAACGGGGGAGGGGCAGAGAGAGAGGGAGACACAGAATCGGAAACAGGCTCCAGGCTCTGAGCCATCAGCCCAGAGCCTGACGCGGGGCTCGAACTCCCGGACCGCGAGATCGTGACCTGGCTGAAGTTGGACGCTTAACCGACTGCGCCACCCAGGCGCCCCATTCTCTTCTTATGTTCTGTAGCTATTTTCTTTGTGTTTACTGTAGGGATTATGCTTAACATCCTAAAGTTATAATACTCTAAATTGATTTTATACCAGCTTAAATTCAGTAGCATAACAAATCTCCACAGCAAAATGGTTTTTAAAAAGCAAATAAATATGAAATTATAACTCAAGATAAGGACCAAGTACAAAAGCAGCCTGCTATGATAAAGAAAACAAGTTGGCCTTGGACACTTAAACTGTCCAACCAACTCTTGATTTTAGCTCAAGTCATGATCTTGAGGTTCGTGGGATCGAGCCCTGCATCAGGCTCTGCCCTGAGAGCATGGAGCCTGCCTGGGATTCTCTCTCCCTCTCTCTGACCCACTCACACACTCTGTCAAAGAGAAGAGAAGAGAAGAGAAGAGAAGAGAAGAGAAGAGAAGAGAAGAGAAGAGAAGAGAAGAGAAGAGAAGAAAAAAAAGAAAGGAAGGAAGGAAGAAAGGGAAAAGAAGGAAGAAAGGAAGAAAGAAAGGGAAAGGAAGGAAGGAAGAAAGAAAGAGAAAGAAAGAAATAAAGCTTAAAAAAAAAAAAGAAAGAAAACAGGTTGGCCTTTTCAGAGGGGTCTATAAGGAGAGCCCCTCTGAGGGGATATTTACCCAGAGGCTTTAAAGATAGAGAAGCTAGCTTGATAAGGAGTGGGGAGAAGAGCATTCCTGACAAAGAGAGGCCAAAGAGAGTGAGGGAAGAGCCTGGGGCAGCTGAGAAACAGTGGCCCATATGACAGTTTGGTGTTGAAGTGGAGAAGTGAATAAAGTCCAGGAGAATCAGGCAGGTCTCCACTGCACAGCCTGGGAGGGCCATGCAAAACAGGGACATTCTGCATCAACTGCACAGGAAGCCACAGAAGGGCTTAGGGCTGCTTAGTGACAAAGTCCTAACTCTGTTGGATGAACCTCTTGCTGGCCATTCTGGGACAAGGATTCAAGAGAGAAGAAAATGAAAGTGAGGAGCCCTGCAAGGCGGCTCCTGCAGTCGTCAAGGCTAAAGGTAACGATGGGCAGACCAGGGTGGAGAGGGAGAGAAACAACAGGCCCCAGACATGCTTGTCACCTTGAACAGGTGAGACAGGGGTCCCTCCACCCTGGTGTTGCGTGCTCACCCCGCTATGTACTCACTCACTTGCCATGCACCCTGACTGTGTCACTCCCCCCGCAAGGCTCCACTTCCTTCTCTGTAAGATGGGCAAACAATGAAATCCACCAGGTCAGATGATGAGGAGAAAAAACCCAGCCACTCATCATGGACATCCACTCCTTTCCCTCCTCTCAAACACGTGCCATCAGGTCACTGACGGACACCAATCTAATTCACACGTCACAACCATGAGAGGCTATGAAAACTGGGAGGCGACACGTGACACCAAATTCCCCCAGCTTTGAACGTGTTTTCATACACCAAGTCCCCAAAAGTGCCCAGAAGCCTGCCTAGATTTAGCCTCAAGGGTCAGAGTGGCAAGCGTGGACTGGCAGGTCTCTACCCAGAGACCCAAGTGAGACCCAATGATGCTACTTCCCTCAGCCTGGAGAGAAACGTGTTGCAAGGAAGGTGGCAGCCACTCCAGCAGACTCCCCCAAATCCACGGAAGCTAGGCACACAGAGCCATTTCCATCCTGCAGCCCCACAGTAAACACTCTGGCGGGAGAGAGATGGGCTGGTTGGCCTCACCTTCCCGCTCACGGCACCTGAAGGCTTGGCTAATGACAGGGTTCCTCATCCCGACCACAATCCTTTCCCATCCTCCTGGCTTAAAGATCATCTTACTTCCTAACAGAAATCCCTTGGCTACAACAGCCACAGGAAGAACAGAATTCTTTGGAATTCTTTCAAAACTAGGGTTTTGAGGGACTGAAGGATGGTAGTGGTAGAGGGGGGTCTTGTTCCGAACAAGGGGCAGCGTCTGAATGCAACCCGTCGTTAAACTTGCTGAAGAGCTAACCACCACTAGAGCGACGGAAACCAGTGTTCGGTGCTGAGAGTCTGTGTGACTGGGTCAGGAGACTCCGTCTTCATTTGGTCTCTGGTCTCGCCACCCCAGCCAAGAGCCCCCACGGGAGGTGACTGGAGGGCTCAGTATTAGCATACACATGCCATATGCCTCTCACCACAGCGGCACTGCTCTTATTAGGCAGGCCTCATCAGAAAACATCTAAATCCCAATTTAATGTGGCTGGCCCCAGATTTGCCCTCAGCGATGGGATCTGGAGCCTCCAACGTCTTAGTACAAGCAGTGGAAGAGAAGCCAAGGCCGTGGAATTAAAGCCAAGCAAGAGGACCACTCAGTCTCTGTCCTTCAGCCTTACAGCTTTGGGGAGCGGGGCGGGGGGGCAACACTGCCACGTACCTCCCCCTCCCTGCCTGTGATTAAAAAACGGCTGCCGCTGTGCTGACGATAAAATTATGAAAGCAAATATCAAAGTAGAAGCTTTGCCTCATTACTACTTTAGTTGCCATAATGAGTGTTTACTCTTGGCACTCGTACTCTGGACAATTAAAAACAATAAACGAGATGAAATTAACTACAGATGAAAGGGTCTGGTGTGGAGCCAGCCCCACCAGCCGTCCTCCCGGGTTTCCTCGGGGCAGGACAAAGCACAGCAGCCCATCATTAAGCAGCCACCAGGAGGACTTGGGTTTGTGCAAATGAAGAACTCAGGCATATTTCTCAGAAACCCAGGCCAGCACCTCCCTCCTCCCTGCCTGACCCCCGCCTCCACCCTCACTCCTGCCCCCTAGCTCGCTCTCCCCGACACGTTCTCCAACTCCAATGCCCCCCTCCCCCAGGCGGGGCACAGCTGCTGAGGCCGTTCCTCCCTTCCCCCTTCAGCGGCCCCACTGCTCAGGATGTCTACCAGCTCTCCCCAACTGTTCCCCTAAGGCTCCCCTATTCCCTGTTGCAGACACATCATACCACACACCACCCCCCCGCCCACAAATGCAGCCCCTGCCGCACCTGCTGCGAGACCTGTCACTCCTACCCTGATCTTGCAAACCCTTACTCTCGCTCAGCTCAAAGGTGAGCTCTTTCCCAAAGTACCCATCATGCAGGATGATCGCTCAGCAGCCCTCCACCTGGGCCCCAGTGGCCCCTTGCAGATAAATCTACTGTAAGATGGTGTTTTATCTGTCTGCCGATACCACTACCTCCCAAGGGAAGGACCAGGTCTGTTGTGCACCTGTATCTCCAACACCTAACGTAGTGCCAGTGGTCTTCAGAGATGCTTGTTAGGAGAGCGGATGGATAGGTAGAATTGGGATGCATGCAAAAGTCTTTCTGTGTCTCCACTGTGAGGAGTGCAGCCCCTCCCCTGCCCAGCCATCATGTGAAGATTTCCCTCTATCCTCATTCATTGAGTCAGATGTAGACACAGGCTTCCGAGCTCCTTCCCTGGTACACTCAAACAGATAACCTCCCCCCGCGCCTTCCCCCAGCCCTCACAGCACACAGCAAGAACCGATTCACATTAAAATTTGATCCTGATTCTTTCCAGTAGACCACTGACTCCTTAAAACGGGCGCTGACTCACTCAACTTCAAATCCAGGGGGTCTAGCACTCAACAAAGGTTTTGGCAAACCTCTGATAAGAGTGGCAGGCAGGGCACAACCCCGGGGCAGACCCAGGCGCCGAAACAACGCATGAGGGCAGGGGCGATGGGTGGGCCCTCTCCCTTGGGAAGCCCTTCAGTTCCCTGCTCAGGGGTCACAGGGCTGTGTGTGTCTCCAGCCCTCAGTCCAGCTTCTTCCTTAGCTGGGGAAAAGACAATGACAGAGCATTCATCCAGGAGGAAACAGAGCCCCCCGGGTCAGAACACCGACTGGAGACTCACCATGTTCATGACCGTGAGGATGAACCTCTGGGCGGCCTCTGCCCCGTGGTACTGCACCATGTCGGCATCGGCCACCACCAGGGTCTCCACTGTGTGCTCGCTGGTGAGCTGGATGGCGTTCCTCCGCTCCCGCCAGTCCTGGGACGGCCTGCCCCTCCTTGGCTTCTTCTTTTCTAGAAGACAACGGAGACATTCATGCAGTCCTTGGCACTTTGATTTCCAAAGCCATAAGGTAAGCCGGACTTCTGTTGAGCTTCCCACAGAGAAGGGTCAGTCTCCAGTGGCCAGGAGATGGACCTCCACCGTCATGGGGTGGGGGGTGGGGGACCTGAGCTCACTTGCTACAGGTGGAGCCGATGGGCAGAAGACGGCTCACACCTGTCCACATCACAGCCGAGGAGGCAAAAGGGACTGAATATCAGGGAGGAGAAAATCTGTCCCATCAGAGGAAGGCAGACAGCAGGACACAGTTGGTGGAGGAAAAGGAAGCCTAGGCCCAGTGGGGAGAGATCAGAAAGCACCTCAGGTTAACGGCATAGAAAGGGTTCTACCCGCTGCTGACGGCTGGGACCCAGGGAGGTGGCATTCTGGCCGCCGTTCTGAGAGTCATGAGTAAAGAGCCATAAACATTAGCAATCACAAAGCATTATTTCAAAGGAAAACAAAATATAATCAGAAAAAAATATTGCATGCCACACACATCCCGGCCAAAATGCAAGTAAGTGTGTCCTTTCCTCAACACAGGGAAAGGTTATTAATCCTCTGTTGACTCTTGGATTTTTTTTTTTTAGATTATTTATTTTTGAGAGAGAGAGAGAGAGAGAGAGAGAGAGAGAGAGTGTGTGTGTGTGTGTGTGTGTGTGTGTGTGTGTCTATGTGTGCACAGAAGAGGGCAGAGAGAGAGGGAGAGAGAATCCCCAGCAGGCTCTGTGCTGTCTTGACACGGGGCTAGATCTCATGAACCGTGAGATCATGACCTAAGATGAAATCAAGAGTTGGACGCTTCACTGACTGAGCCACCCAGGCGACCCCTCTTCTGACTCTTTAGATAAACTGATGCCCTGTAAGATCTCACTTTGATAAGCAGGTGTTGTTATTAATTAGAGCCCATATCACAGTGTCTAGGCATTCAAGCTGCCATGCGAGGGCAACCTAGACTTTGTTGGTGAAAACCCCTCTGACCGACACCAAAGTGTGATATGAATAGTGTGTACTTTCAGGATCCAAATGTAAACAGAAAGGCAGTGCTTAAATTTGTTAGCTATCATTCCCATTTTTAGCACTAAACCATACAGAAGTCAGCCCTGCTACAACTTTCATGCAGCGAACCCAGCCCCATATGCACAAACTGGCTTCATAAAGTGACCTGATCATTCCAGGGCCCCAAATGCACACTACGAAATAGCCTGAGATATGGGTCATAATGAACAAACAAGAATACTCTGTATGATATAATTTACAGTCGTGAAAACTGAAAAGCAATCTAAACATCCAACCACAGAGAGAGCCAGCAATGGGAACACAATATGTAGCTGTGAAAGGCATGTTTGTGAAGGTGATTTAGTGATGTAGAGAAAAGCAGGAATAAATCTGCATATACAGTTCGGTCCCAATTCTGCAAAGATTCAGCACACAAGTATCTTCAGGTGAAGGAGGAGGAGGAAATAAATTTAAAAATAAAAAATAGATAAACAGATGGACAGATAGACAACCAACCAACCTGGGTAGAACATAACTAAAACATGAATGATAGGGAACATATGATCTTCGTTTTTCTTTTCCATTTGTAGTTTTCAAATGTATATAATAAACTAGAATTACTCTATTCACTTGAGTTTGAGAAAAATACAGTGGTCACTTTTAAACTCTCAACAATACAGAAGGCATGGGGGAACAAAGTTAGCCACAGAAATACAAGATGAAAAACATGAATGCCTTGGCCCCACAGGATGGGTCTCTCCTCGCCCAGAGCCAGGCGCACCTCCATCGAGACTTCTGGGCCTCAGCAGTGGAACGAGGGAAAGAAGAGTCCATTTCAAGTCAACAGGCAAGGTCCCAGATGGCACTGCCTTGCATGCAGTCAGAATGAAAGAGGCCGCTTGTTAAAAATCTCTTTGTAAAATCTATACCCACATATCTATAAAATCAATACCCATATACCTATCTTCACCAACCAGATCATCTCTGAATGCAAGGAAGACGGACCACACATGATCTCCAAATTCTGGGCTCAGGGTGCTTGCTTACGGGGTGCTCACAGCCTGGATCAGACCGATCTGTCCAACTTGGAAATTTGCAACAAACCCCCTTGCTCCCATTTCAACACCGTGGAAGTGATGGGCTACCAAGCAAGAGCTCTGCTGTCACGAGCACACCCACGTGCTCCCAGGCAACCAGCCAGGAGCCACATGGTGCTCTGTCTCATGGTGCTAACTCCCCTCTTGATAACTCCCCTCTTGGAGTCACCAACTCCTGTTCTCACCTGCAGATTCCTCCCCAAGTGGGCTGCTCAGTACTTCTCTTTGCAAAGTGTCCTATATTTTCAGGTTCTCATGTGAGAAGAGCTACAGTTTCAGCGTGGCCCTGAGGACACATTGGCAATATCTCTCTGGAAGATGGCAAGCTCAAACACGTAAGAGCTGAACAGTCTCGAAGAAGAGTAGCCCATCACTCCCAGACCAGAACGGCAGGGTTGCTCCCAAACATTCAACAGATCAAAATGCTGCACTGGAGCATCAGTCTTTCAAGCACAAAGTAGGACTCCTAAGACCTGCCCCTCCCTCCATGATGGGCCACAGAGAGCTAATAAATAGGCTGTCACAACGGGCACGATGCTGGGGGTTGGCATATGCCCAGAATACTAAGTAACAGGTACAACACACTGGTCAGGTGCTCTGTGGTTGTTAAAGGATTTTCACTAAGACGTTCTCATTTCTTCCATTCATTACCCACCCCACCCCCCAGCCCCTGGCATAGGACTTGGTGTGAAATAAATATTCATTGAATGAATGCACACGTGAGTAAATGAATGAATGAATGTATGGATGAATGAATGAGTGAGTGGAATCCCTGTTTCCCACATAACAAAGCTGAAGCCAAGTACTGGGCAGTGGTGAATTCGGCCCTAGAACCCAAAGCTTCCCCCCTCGGCTCTGACTCTCTCCAGCTGCCCTGCCTATGTGTGCCAACATGGTCCTCATTGCAATCTGAACTTAAAACATAACAGTAGGAGGGTCGAAGAAAGCTTAGCGGGAAAGGATTCTGTGTTGAGCATGATGAAACTGACTTTGCTGCTGCATGCTGCACACACAGCGTGCACGGCGACTCTGAGCCGCCTTCAGTGATAGTGCTCCTTCCCCTTGGATGGTCTCTAGCTTGTTCCAGGCCCTGCAGCAGCTATAGCATAATTATCCCTCCGGGCTGCCTGCACTCCCCTCACCGAGCGTTGCTAATTTGGTCTGTCAGGCCAGAACCATGCCAGGCTGGCTGGGGACTCAGAGACACACCCCAGTGCTCTGTCCTGTCCCCACATTCAAGGGCAGAGGCCTGACGCCTTGATCCAAACCCCTGCAGCTAGATAGGTTGCAGGAATTCAGAATTTTTCAGATTTTGCAAGGCCATGCGGTGCGTGTGCCACATACTGAATAGTTTCCCTGAGGTCTAGGGCAGCGAGCGGTTATCAAAGGCACTATTAATTCTGCAGAGAAACGAGAAAAAGGGGGTCACAGGAGAGATGCTCCATAGCCTCCTATCAGGGCAGGGCAGGCCTTCCACAAAATGAGTGTCGAAAATCCTGGATTTGGGAGTTGCAGATAAGAGACCAAGGACCTGTATTCCCTCTCCATGCCCGTGTCCTTCCTGGGGGGTAGTGGAGGACAGCAGGGTGAACGGAAGCTTGCCTCCTCCCTTCTCCTCCCTCTCGTCAGCCACTCTACCAGTAGCTCCACGATGGTTATTCCTTCCCTACAGCGAGAACAGAACCGTGATACATTTTTACCTTTAATGCCACAAACTGCATACATATACCCTAACAGACAGGCTTCATCAACACCAATATTCATGAGTTGTAAGCATCATGAAAAGGAAGAAGAACAATACCAATTTCAGAATGACAAGGGTGCTGGATCCAGATCTCATGGGAGAGGTCAAAGTTCAAGCTGGGCAGGTGTGCAGCCATCTGCGGGGCCTTCCATGCTGGGCTCAGTAATACGCCGTCTCCAGCCACTGTGGGAACGGCCCTCACCCCTCTGATGAGGACAGACCAGAGCCTGTGGGGCCCCCGGCCTTCTCGGGCTGCTACAGATACCAGAGATCATTCTAAGTTCACCCTGTGGTCTTGTTTGCCAGCACACTACTGGAGCTGGTGCTGACTGGGTAGATTTTCAATCTCTGGCTTCATATTATTTTTCTTACATTTATTTTCCCTTTGCCCCAATTATCCATTAAAAAAGAAAATTCTATGTACTTATGGAAGATACTCCAAGTCTTTTTTAATTTTTTTAATGTTTATTTATTTTTGAGAGAGAGAGAGAGAGAGAGAGAGAGAGAGAGAGAGAGCCTGAGTGGGGGATGGGCAGAGAGAGAGGGAGACAGAATCCGAAGGAGGCTCCAGGCTCTGAGCTGTCAGCACAGAGTCCGGATGTGGGGCTTGAACCCACAAACCATGAGCCGAAGTCAGATGCTTAACCGACTGAGCCACCCAGGCACCACCCCCACCCTCAGACCAAGTCTTTTCTAGAACAAGAGGAGGAAGAGAAAAGACAAAACAAAGGGCATTCTATGCGTGGGGCTTTTAGAATATTCACATCACTATTTATCATAAGAATTTGGGGTTACTGAAAATGTTGAGCAAATACATAAATTGTCATTTTAGTTATGAGTTTTGCTCTTGGCAAGCTAAAAAAAAAAATCTCAGTTGTAAATTAACAAACTCCGCATGAATTAAATATTTCTTTAGTTTAAAAATAGAGTATTTAGGTATTTCCCAAGGAAAAACAACACACGGATCACAAAATATTCTGTGTGAGAGTTTAACAGCCAGAAGCCATCCCTGAATTGCTCCGTGATTCTACCAATTTCATTTCCAGGGAAGACCTCAGGTCACCTTTGTGCCAAGGGAGAGGCAAACCAGCTTGTGCCAGCAGGAGAAGCAAGTTAGAGAGAAAACAGACAT